TTTAGTGGAAAAATGCTGTGCACTGGATAGGCCCAAAAGCCAAACAACAACTGTAGTTGTTGCCAGCCCTCTCCCAAACTTCAGTCACAAACACCTAAGCACTTTTGTCACATCTGAGGATATGTACTATTAGTTACTGGTCTTTAATTTGACTCACTTTTTTCTTTTAGGCCTGTTTTAAAAAGAAAAATTCTATCACTATTGTCAATGGAAAGCCAGCATGATGGCTCTAAACAAAGTAACCCTAAAAAGAAGGCTGAGCCTGAAACCTGCATGCTGTTTAAAGAGGAGAAGGAGGTTATTAGAGAGTATAATTTTGAACTGCATGATACTGTAATTTTTGTAGACCAAAGAAGGGGAAGCGTCAAGTCGAGGAACATGTATAAAGGACCCATGGACAAAGCCAACGGGGGTGGGGGAACCTGAATGTGGACGGTGGGGGTGAGTAGGCAGGGAAGAGTAATGGGGGGAAAATGAGGATAACTGTAACTGAATAACAATAAAAAAAGGAAAAAATTACAGAAAAAAATCAAATATTGGCAATTTCATTTAATTCAACTTAATATTATTAACACCAAACCAAGTCTTTACCCCAAAATCAGTAAGACATAAAAAGAATTTAAAGGAAAATAACTAAGCCTCTAGGCAACTGAAAGGAACTTAATGCTACAACTTTTAACACTTAAAATAATGTTTAGTACCTGCAATGATTCAAATCTCTCAATTTGTGAAACTCTGCTAAAAAAACAAAAGGAGATGTAGTGCTAGTTAGTGAAGACCACACTGGAAATGTGAAACCTGTGCTCCAGTACCTTTCAACTACCTAACAGCCATGTGACCTACCTGTGCCCCCAGCACCGACACTTAAGAAATGGTAAATACATGCTACACAAATGACCAGCCCCCAAGCTTTCATGTCTGCGAAAACAGGAAATATATCCCCCTCTTGATCTCCGGGGGTCCTTTAGAGGATCAAATGAGATGGATGACACAGAAGTCAGTATTTTCAAACCAGACAGTGCTGTCACAAGAAAGATCACCATTACAATACAGCAGTGACAAGGGTAAATTGTTGGGAATTTTAGCCGTCCTGTATTTATTCCACCTTCATAACAGCACCCAGGTGTCATTTTGAAGGCTTGTTTCTTCCTCCCTGGATACTACCTTGATGGGACGGCAAACCCAAATGGACATCTTTGCACTACACAAGTCATTGGGGTCCTAAGAAACTCCTTCAGCCAAATCCTCCTGCTGGTGGCCAGCAGGTGGCCAAGTGACCTGAGACTGAGCAATCAGGTGCTTCCTCCCAGGAATGTCACTCTTGAGCAGAATGAGAGAAAGTCAGAAAACTAGTGTTCACTCCAGCAGCAGGGCCTTAATTGGATCACCATTCCTGCTAGGAAATCATTTCTGGGCACTTATTTCCAGCTTATGAGTCTTTCAAAACTGCCTTGACTTCTTCCTGTTTCCAAACCTAGTCTGCCATCAATTCCATAAGATCACAATATCCTCAACTGGAACAGATTTCTGTTGCTTTTTACCAAAGAGCCCTGGCAGACATATCAGGGTACCAACCTTTCAAAGATTCCTACTGATGTTCATCCAACCACCTGAACTCTCTAGCTGCAATCACCAGCCAACACCTCAGAATCCTGCCTAAAACTTTTCCTAAGACAGTAAATAAATGTTAAGTGTATTCAAAGAAAATGCTTGGCCTTTTAAAAATCTCTTCCAGTTATCCATTACTTCTTAGTGGACACAGGGCTTAGATTCCCAAAAGAGAATGATGTGGAAGGAGACACAAGAAATTCCATTTTCCAAATGGGACTGAAAACTATGCCCAGAGTTACATGGAAAGAAATCCTCCATATTCAGTTGTTCCTTTGAGAGCCAAAAAAGAACAGCAACAAGGCCCACTAATTACTTTTACCTTTCTACTCTATTTGTAGTCTACTACTTGCATGGGTAGGTGTCACAGGCTGAGTAACAAGTATCCCAGCCAGACTTCTTCCTGAGGAGCAAGAACCTCTTTATATGAAATGAAATTAACATTCGTACATGTCTGGCATTTTTACATGCAGTGTGTGACTTAATCCGCACAACTGGCTAAGTAGACACCAATGTTTGGGTTTTCCCCCGTATCACCAAGCAATTCACCAAGCTGAATGTCCTACAATTCAACTCAATCCTGATACTATATACCTGGAAACAGCATCAGATCCCACAGGTAAAGGTCTCAATCCTACAAGGCTGCACCAGCCCCTGACTTCAGGCAACAGCTGTAACTCCAGGTTGTCACCTGTGCTTCTGACTAACCAGCTATTTATCTCAGAGGTTCCACAAGCTCCTCTTCGGGTTCCATTCATTTGCTATAGTGGCTCATATAACTCAGAGAAACATTTTACATACTAGATTGCCAGTTTACCTAAAAAGGATAAACTGAGGCCCTGGCCAGCATGGCTCAATTGGTTGGAGCATTGTCCCATGGACCAAAAAGGTTGTGAATTCAATCCCCAGTCAGGGCACATACCTACACTGTGGGTTCGATCGCCCAGTTGGGGCACATACAAGAGGCAACCAATTGATGTTTCTTTCTCACATTGATGTTTCTCTCTCCCTCTTCCTCTCTCTAAAAAGAAATGAAAATTTTTCCTCAGGTGAGGATAAAATTTTTAAAAAATGTTTTTAATTTTTAAAGGATATAACTCAGAAACAGCAAGATGGAAGAAATACATACAATGAAGTATTTGGGAAAGGGTGTGGAGCTATCATGCTCTCTCAGAGAAGGCCACTCTCCCAGCACCTCCAACTGCTCACCAACCCAGAAGCTCTACAAACCCTGTCCTTTTGGATTTTTATGGAGGCTTCATTACACAGGCATAACTGACTGAACCATTGGCCTCTGGCAACTGAACTCAACCTCCAGTCCCTCTTCCCTCCCCAGAGGTGAGGGTTTCTCCTGGCGACCAGCCTCTAACCTTTGGTGCTCTCCAAAAGTCACTTGACATCACGAAAGATACCTTTATGGATATCATCATTTTGACAACACCAGGAGTTTCAGGAGCTCAGTGCCAGAAATGGGAACAAAGAACAAATGTATGTCTTCTTATAAATCACAGTACCACAGTAGACCTAATTTTTGGGCTCAGAGAGGTGAAACAAGTGGCGCAGCAGAAAAAAAAGAAGAGCCAGGATTCAAAGCCAGGCCTTGACAGCCCGTGCACTCTTAGGCCAGCCTGCCCAGGGCAAGTCAACAGCCCACTGAAAGAAATGAAGCAATAAGTCAGGCTAATAATATAATGCCACAAACATACACTGAGAGCCTAATGTGTGACAGGCACAAAATGTTTGTGTAAAACGCTGAGAAGTAAAAAAAATGAAGAAGCTGCCCTCTGCCCACAAAGCACAAGCCTCGTGGTGGCACAGTTACTTAAACATTTGACTATGATACAATGTAATATACACACTCAGCCAGACCAGGAATCTTTGCTGAGCATCTTCTAGATGCTTCTAAGGAATGGGTATACATCAGTGACCATGACAGCACACAGACATGTGGGCTGGGAAAGTTCGCCAGCCCCAAGGGCACAAGCAACCCGGGACACCAGGGGCCCGGCAAACTGAGCCCTTCGCATGACCAGCTGCAGTGGTTTGGCAGTGCGCCCCAGCCCCAGGAGAGGGGGGAAGCTGCCGCAAGGCAAAGGAGGCGCTGGCCTCACAAGTGTGTGCTCCAGAGAGAGAGAGCCTAGAGCTGGAGAGATGGAGACCCATCCGTGTAGTAGCCTTGGACCCCAGAAGAGCAGATAAGAATGGAGGGGGGTCTCTGGGCATGGATTGGGATTTCAGTCTTTTTGGGAATAAGGAGATTTCTGTGTTTTGCACAAGAGAAAGGCTTGGAGCAGGGGAACTCCCTAAACTCCCCCAAATTGGGCACCATATTAATAAAAACATTTTCCTTCCCCACCAATTTCTGTTTTATACTTGTGTATGGCAGCAGGCAGCTGAATTCCATGTAGCCCTGTAACAACAGTATAAAATATGAAAAATATCAGGAAATGTAAAGATTTCCAATATTCTTAACTCCACCATTATCTCTGTTCATATTTTGGTATTTTTTTGCCAGAATTGTTTAACCCTGTAAAGGTTGTGGTCAAAAAAAATAGAGCATAGAACATATGTATCACACGCCCTTACAAAACACGTTATAACCTAACTGACTGCTTAAACATTATGGCTTAACATTAGTCACATACAAACATGTAGCTAGTCATGACCTTGAACCTATGCACCTGATGTACATAACAATATTTTTAAGTTTGTATCTCTCAGATCATGCACAACCTCCTCAGGGTTAACATAAATAGGATCACTCTGCATCCATATAATTTTGTATCCTGCTCTTGTGATTTTTACTAAATACATCATTTTAATTCTACATATCTACTTTCTGCTTAAAAAAAACTCTACATAGACATCAATTTAATGTCTATATAACATTCCACTCTACTGATGCACTACACTTTGTTAATCATTTCCCAATTGTCAAGCATTTAGATTTCCAAGTTTTCATCATTATGAATTTTCCCTGAAAATAGCTTTATGCAGAAAGTGTTTCTTTTTTTATTGATTTTTAGAGAGAGAGAAAGGAAGAAAAAACATCGATTTGTTGTTCCACTTACTTATACATTTGTTGATTGATTCTAGTATGTGCCCTAACAACTGAACCTGCAACCTTGGCATATTGAGACAATGCTCCTAACCAACTGAGCTACCCAGCCATGGCTGCAGAACGTATTTCAAGTAATTCCCTTATAATAGAGTCCAATAATAATTATGGGAAGCTGGAAATAATTTTAAGAGTAGTCACTGCATAGACATCTACAGATCACCCAAATTTAATCATTGCACCACTTGGCTGTGGAAATAGAGTACAGAAGCTGGTCATCTCTAGCCACCTTTTTGCTCTTGGCAATAAATGGTTTCAGAAGTGACGTATTTACCTGCTGTCAGAATCCGAGGCGATTTCCTTTCTCCCTCCAAAGCGGATCTGGCACTGCATGGAAAAAGAAGCCACTGAGATCAGCTGTTGGGATGGGAGACTCAAATGTCACAAAGCAGCCCACACAGGCCTCAGGGTCACTGGGGACAAAGGGCCAGAAACTCTGGGTGCTGAGTCAGAGTGTCCCCTGCCCTGGGTGTCAGCCCAGGACATAAGACAGTGGACATCCCAGCCTTCCAGCTGCCGCTTAAAGGAAGTCCTTATCTCCCACTTGTACAGAAGTGAGCTGTGTAGGAAAACAATGCTAAGAGGAAAACAGAAGCACACAGCTTCTGCACATTATCTAGGAAACTTCTGTGTGTCAGCAGCTGGCGATGTGTAACACAGGGCTCTTAATAGGCAATAATTAAAACTTCCACAAATCAGCCATGATGGGTCTCTTTTGACAAGGCCCAAAGTTGTTATATGACTGGCTAGAAAATTATGACAACATAAATCATACTTCAAACAAGTCATCTGGTTGTCCTGAGTGACAATTTACCCAGGGTGGGTACAAACAAAAACAAACTATTCTCCTTTTTTTAAATTGTGATAAATAGAGAAAACATAAAATTACCAGTTTAACCATTTCTAGTTACACAATTCAATTCACAATACTGTGCAACCATCACCACTTTCCACTACTCTCTTTTAAAAGATATAAAACCTCCAAAGTGGGTAGAAGACTTACAAGATTTCTGAACTTATTATCTAAAAGACCATATAGTTATATAAAATTTTAAATGATAACACTTGTCAAAACTTATAGAACTGCACATTCAAAATTGGTATATTTTACTGTATGAAAACTATATCTCAAAAAAGTTGACTTTTAAAAGGCTCATATATACAACCCTTTTGCCCCCCAAAATAATAATAACAACAACAATAATGGCAGATCTGGGCATAAGCTCCAATGTATTTCTGTTTAACTGCTAACTTAAAGTAGTTCCACTTGCCTCCTAATCTTCTTGTCATATTTTCCATTTCTGGAGCAAAAAAAAGACGAAATGAATAATGTAAGCTCCTAATTTACAGTGGACCAGGAAATGGCCATGCCTTTACCTACTTTAACGAATGCAATTCCCTCAACATCACTGTGAAGATCAGTGACCAGATTACAGAGAAGAATGCCCAGAGAGGCTAAATGAGTTGTGCAAGCACACATAGCTGGGAAGAAATGAAGCTGGCCTTTGACGCCAGCTACACTTGAGCCTGTGTTGTTTCCGCCATAACAGGACACCTCACCGCTTGGGTGGATGCAAAAGTTTTTGAGCTCACATAACACCTAACACGCACCTTTATTAAAGTATGTATCTCCTATCTCCCTATATACATACATGTACATAATTGTCAGTCATTCCTTCTGAAATGTGAGCTACCTTGAACTCCCAGGGCCAGATCCTAGCTCTGCTATTTATTAACTATGACACCTAAAGAAAGTTATTGGACCTTTCTGAGTTTCCGTTTCTTTAGCAGTAAAATGGAAATAATTGTAGGAACTATCTCACAGGGTGGTTGGAAGGATTAAATGTAAAATATTTGGATATAAAGCAGAGTGCCCAGCACATGATGAATGTGCAATAAATGATGCATATCTGGTACATGCAGGCAAGCAAACTTATGCCAGCTCATGTCAAAGCTCACGTGCCACCCAGCCAAAAGCCGGGCATCAGAACAGTATCAACCAATCAGATCAGAGCCCACCTGGAGGATCCCTACCATTGTTCCTGGGTTTAGTTCATTCTTCCTCATCTCTGTTCTTATGCTCATAAGGTCCTAACCCCAATCACCACCTTAGCACCCATAAGAGTTGCCCTAAAACACAACTGCTTGGAAATAAGACTTTGAAACACACATCAATGCCCTTCTCAAAGGGACATCACTGAAGGACGGGGTCCTCCAGAGGGCTTTAGAAAGTCAGGACACAAGAACGCTTCTGTCCCTACCTCTGATAGCCTTCCCTGCTCTATCATTTTCTGGGAGAAACTATTGGCCTCACTGTTCCCAGATACAAAGTGAGGATAAGTCTGTTTAGATAGACAGAAATGACTTTTACATTAATTATCTGACACTATTACTTGATCTCAAGGTCAAACGTGACCATTCCTCTTACCTGTTTCACTGCATCCAGCAGTCGCTCCAGCAAAAATTGTCTTTTCATGTCATTGTTCTGTGATCCTAAAATGCAACAAGGCTTAATTAGTTCTGCTTGACATTAGCCTTCTATTAAGACTTTCTGACATATAGTGTATCACTGTCCCCAATTAGTATCAGGCTACTCTTTCATAAAATCACTAACAAGACCAGGCACCAATAATCTACATCATTACAATGAAGTTTGACCATTTCCCTATTACTGCAACACGGAACAATCTAGTCTAGAGTTTCTCAACCTTGGTACTACTGACATTTGGGCCAGATGGTGGGGGCTACCGTATGAATTGTAGGATGTCTAGCAGCATCTCTGGCCTCCATCCAGTAGGATACCATTAGCACACATGCATGTACACACACACACACACACACACATACACACACACACTATTGTACCAACAAAAATGTCTCTAGATGTCCTCTGGGGAACAAAATTGCCCCCAGTTGACAACCAATATTCTAACTTAAAATATATGAGAGTAAGATTCCTAGTGCACAGGCTGACCTCACCATCATCTCCAACATCCCTTTCCTCAGCCACTGCAATACAAGCTGAAAACCTAATTGCACCTTTTCTAAGCTTTTCTTATAAGGCTGACCATAAGAAGTTCTAGCTAATGAGATGTAAGCAGAAGTGCACCAGGAGGGTCCTGGGAAAATTATGCCATCCTGAAAAGAGCAGATATTAATGACTTCATTCCTCCTTCCATCCTTCATCCCTCAATCATAAACACATTGGGTGAAGCTGAGCAGCATCTTCCTAACAGGAAGCAACAAGCCTGGAGGGAAAGCCAAGAAAATCACAAAGACATCAGCCCTGATGTCATTTTGCTGTTGAACCAATACTGGAAATCTACTGCCTCTGACAGAGGAAATAACTCCCTTTGTGCAAAACACTACATCTGGGCTGTTACTCGCAGCCAAAAGCTTTCCCAACTGATACACATGGCATATACTGGACTTCTACTTAAAGAGGGTCTGGGGCAAAGACACTTCGAAGTACTGGGCAGAACACTGTCAGAGATACATCTGATGCTCCACAAGAGGCCCACTGACTACCACCAACAGAGACATAGCTACGTATTATGATGTACCACGCACGGAACACAGTTGTTTCAAAGGAGACTCAGATTCAGAGTTACCAGAGCAGATGTTCCACACCATGAGTCTTGCACTGTCACCAAGCTGCCTCTTTCCTGGGCAACTCAACATGGGCTTCACCCGGGAGGACCTGGTACCTCGCCTCAGAAATGGTCAGTGATTAATCCGAGTCATGCCAGGGCTGTCCAGCTGGTAACAACTGTGGCCTTGTGTTGAGCACTTCCTGCATGTGAGACACTCATCTGAGTACTCTGCATGCATTATGTCATATAATTTTCACAAACACCCCGCGAACTAGGCATTAGGATCCCCATAGCATAGATGGGGAAAATGAAGCTCAGAGAGGACCAACAACTGTGTGTATTGATTCATTCAGTATTTATTTAACTTTAGCTATGTACCAGGTAATGTTCTAAGGGCTAGGGACACAGGAGTTAAATGGTACAAAAAAGCCATCTTCTCATGAAGTACAATTCTATTCAGAAGAAACAAATAGAACCTAAGTAAACAACTAAATGAGATGATGTTAGAGTCTCATAGCATGAAGAAAAATCAAATGGGCTGATGAGAGAGGGAGGAAGCAAGAGGGCCATGTTAACCAGGCAGTCATGGAAGGCCTTTCTGCACAGGTGTCAGTGAGCTGAGCCCTTTATAAAGAGAAGGGGCAGCCATGACAAGATATGGAGACCAGGGTTCCAGGTAGAGCAAACAGCCTGGGTGGGAACCCAGGAGACAGGAACACACTTGGCCTCTCGGGTCTTCCAGGTCCAGAAGAAAGCCTGCTGTGATTTCAGCAAAAAGCAAAACAGGGGAAGTAAACATCAAAGAGGCAGGCAGGGGCCAATCACAAAGGGTCTTATGGACCACGATAAAAGGTTTAGCTTTTGTTCTGATTTGAATACTAACTGGTATAACTGTGACCTTGACTCAAGACCACACCCTTCAAATGCTCGTGCTAGAAATACCACCACACAAGGCTCTTTCCTCACTCCAGGCCTGGAGATAAAACCAGTTGGTAGATGCTCCATGGACACACAGTAACACAGCTGACTTCCCAAATGTTGCCGCTGTTATTTTATTGGAAGACGTTTTGAGAAAGGACATCCTACACATCGCTCCCACTAGACAAGAAGCCTTCTTGGAGTGTCACTAGTGATGGAGGCCCCACCCCCACCCAAGGCCCTCAAACATCTCCCTTGACACCTATGTCTACCAATAAATCCTGCTCTTTGTTTAGCAGAAAGTTTAGCTTCTGTTCTTCTCTAACACCAGAATAGAGAAGTCAGGCTTTCTTTCTTCCTTTTCCCAAGTATTGTACCCAACAACTCTACTCGCCTTTGGGCAATGTCAGTTGGAAACCTGACAAAGTTTTCCTCCCTGGAATGCCATTGCTGTTTTTTTCTGATCATAAATGTAATTTATGTAATAGAACTACCATATGACCCAGCAATTCCACTTCTGGATATATACCAAAAAGAACTGAAAGCAGGGTCTTGAAGAGAAATTTCACACCCATGTTCATAGCCACATTGTTCACAGTAGGTAAAATATGAAAACAATGCAAGTGCCCATCAACAAGTGAATGGATAAGCAAAATGTAGTATATCAAACAATGGAATATTATTCAGCCTTAAAAAAGAAGGAAACTGCAATATGCTACCACATGGATGAACACTGAGCACATTATAAGTGAAGTAAACCAGACACAAAAAGAGAAATACTTTATAATTCCACTTCTTTGAAATACTTAGAGTAGTTAAATTCATAGAAAAAAGTATAATAGTGGTTGCCAAGGGCTGGGGAGAGGGAGGAATGGGGAGTTATTTTTTAATAGGAATAGAGTTTCAGTTTTGCAACAGAAAGAGTTAAAGGGGGTGGATGGTGGTGATGGTTGCACAACAATGTGAATATATTTAATACCACTGAACTATGCACTTAAAAATTATTAAGATGGCCCTGGCTGGTGTGGCTCAGTTGGTTAAGAGTGTCATCCTATAAACAAAAATGTCAAGGGTTTGATTCCTGGTCAGGGCACATCCTAGGTTGCAAGTTCAGTCCCCAGCTGGGGTACATACGAGGGGCAACCTATCAATCCATGTTTCTCTCCCTCTCTCTCTCTCTCTCTCGCTTCCCCTCTCTCTAAAATCAATAAGCATGTCCTCAGGTAAAGATTTTTTTAAATGATTAAGATGCTAAATCCTACGTTATTTACCACAATAAAAAAAAAGTAATTCATAAATTCATGCAAAACAAATATAATAATAACAAATCAGGAAAAAATGTACAAAGAAAATAAAAATCTCCATCATCTCACTCACTACTGATAATTTTTAGTGCAGTAATTCTCAAGCTTTCAGGTGCACACAAATCCCCTGAAATGTTGTCAAAAGGCAGATTCTGATTCAGCAGGTCTGGGGTGGGGCCTGAGGTTCTGCATTTCTCACAAACTCCAAGGTGACACTGATGTTGCTGTTCCACCTACTGACATCTGAATAGCAAGAATTTAGCACCTACCTTTAATGACATGCACAACTGTCCTAGATCTTTTCTACAGTATCTTGCCACACCGATGCTTTTTCTAAATGAGATATCAACAGCCTCCTCCTCTGCCTTACCTTGCCATGTCTCTCAGTAGGAAGAAAAGCATGTTCTCTACAGAAAAACAACCTGAGGTTGCACTGGTCTCAGTCCACCACTCCCCCTCTCTGGCTGCCATCCCTCTACATGAGAAAAGTGCACTTGAATGAGACAACCGTGGCCTCAGAAGTGGTACCTGGGGCTATCCTAGCCCTGAATGAGTGTTAAGAGAACGGGTCTCACAGAGTAGAGGGAGAACAGGCAGCCTTGGAAGCACTTATCAACTACAGGGAGTGCCAAAAAGACCTATGGCTGTGAGTAGTGGAAGGAACACTAGAGGGAAGTCACAAGGCATCATGAGTCCTCATCCTGGCCAGGCTGCTTACCGGTCATGTGACAGGGACAGTCACTTCCCTTCCTAGGCACTGGTTTCTGCATGAGCTCATGCTCTCCTAACTCCGCAGTCTACCAATGTGAGGCCTCTCTGGAGCCAGGCAGACAGAGCAATCAATGCCACCGCTCTCTCTTATCTTCTCCCAGCGACAAAGAGGAGAACATAGCACCCCTGCCAGGGCCAAGAAGAATCCTCCAGTCTCAAACTGATGCCCACCAACTGAGCCTCAGGTGAGGGCTAAGCCATGAAGTGACTGACATTTCAGCCTTCCCTCCTTGACAAAGGAAAGGTGGCTCCATTCACCAGAGCATTGAGGCCCAGAAAGGTCAAGATCTTCACCGAGGGCCAGCCCCACAGAAAGTGTTCAAGGACAGATTCAGTTTCAAGTCCACTGGTTCCTGGTTCAATCATCTCTAAATCCTGCTCACTCTCAACCCTCAAACAAACCTGCAGTTACAGCCTCACTGCTGGTTGAGAAATGATTCCTCTGTGAAACCCTAGCCTTCCTGCTTCCTTCCTTCCTTCTCCAAGCGCAGCCTTCAGTCAACACTATCAACCAAAGAAGCCAGAACAAGCTTCTTTTTAATTTCTTGTGCGATCACCATTAATATGAAAATAAAATACATAAAGCCACCTCAGGAAATACTGCCAAGTGTCCACAAGCCTGTCAGAGAAATACAGCAATCCCCTAGGACTCTAAGTCAGAAATCACATGTGCATGTGCAAATCACTCACCTGGTTCAGGTACATCCCTGCTGTCTTGAATGTTTAAAATCCTTAGGACTCTACATTAATTCTTACTGTAAACCTCCAAGGATTAAGAATGTGATAGCCTAGGTTCAAATCCTACACCACCAGCTAAGTGACCATGGGCAAGTTACTTAAACTCTCTGTACCTCCTAGGTCTGTTAAATGAGTGAATGTTTTTTGTGCACCTACAACAGTGCCAAAT